GCTCAAAGCTGGGTGTGTGGGGGGGTCCCTGGCCAGAGCTTCCATCAACCCCACCCCATGTGTGCGGGCAGGCAGTGGAGGGAAGCCCTGAGCTGCGTCAGAAGCCGCGCCGGGCGGGTGGGCGGTGGAGGGAAACCCCAAGTCCCAGCAGAAGCTGCGCCAGGTGGGCAGCAGAGGGAAGGGCGGCACCGGGCGGGGGGCAGGTTCTGGGGGTCTGTGGGCAGGGGTGGAGGCTGGGCCCCCTCGACACACTGGTCTCAGCGGCACCAGCTGGGGACCGCCTTCAATGGAGCCCCTGCCTCCCCTTCCCCATCCCTCAATATCCCCCCTCAGGAGCCCCCACCTCCCGCTCCCCATCCCTCGATATCCCCCCTCAGGTAACTTGCGTAGGGCCCCAGAAATCCTAAGGACAGCCCTGATTCTGGGTCTCCATGTGCTTTTATACGGGAGCTGTTCTTCGGCACTAGGAGAAAGGCGGTGAAGTAAACTCTAGCCCACCAACAGTTACACTAGGAAACAGCAGTGCTGTATCAGTTTCTTTGAGTCCAACCCCAGAAAACATTCAATAATGCTTTTTATTTTTTGCTTGGAATTATGGTTACAATCTTTAAATATATACACTGATTGATTGTTTATAGCAGAGCTTGAATCATTTTGGCAAACAGTCTGAAGTGTTTGGACAGCATTTGGAAATGAAAAGAAAAGCACTTGTAACTTCATTTCTAAGCCTTTTCTCCCCTATGGGTGAAAGGATGTTAATAGCTAAGCTTGCTCTCATGGTTCAATGTATATGTAATAAAGATGCTAAATTAAATCTGCCCATTTCGAGTGTGGTGTGGGCTTCCCTTACTGATACTCAGTTCCAAACCCCAACTGCTTGCCTTGGGATTGAGACCCCTATAACAGCCTTTAGGAAGGAAAGAATTCACCCAGAAATCCCTCCAACACAAACACTCAACTTGATCAGCAGCAGTCACCTTGATCAGCAACAAACAGGTCCCAGTGTCCCCCGGCATCAGTCCCTCAGTCGCCAATAAGGGCCTTGCTTGCCTTTGGGCTCTGGCCAGTTCTCACGTGCAGGTGTAACACAGACAGACCCCAGTCGTCAGCGGGCAGGATCAAACCTGGGCCCTCTGGAGCTTAGTGCATGAGCCTCTACCGTATCAGCTAAAAGCCAACTGGCTTTTAGTTAAGGCTGTAGAGCAGAGTCATTTAACTCTCTCTAAGTGGTCTCGGTGCCACTAGATTGGACAGAACACCACACCCTGGAGGTGTGTGGGTTACACAGGGACAGCTCAACGGGGACGTGTTCAGGTTGTTCCTGCCCCGAGCCTGGAGCTCAGACTCTCAGCCATCTGTGGTCTTAGCAGCAGTCACATGTAGTTCTCCAGCAGCCCATGCAGTTCTTGCTCCAATCCAGCAGAGCTGGCAACCGGTAGTAGGGGTGGATTGCCTACCAGCTCTCTAGCCAATCAGAGCTCTTCGGGTATGCACACTGCCCAGGCGCCTCTGCAGCCCTAGGGAGGGAAGGGGAGCCCAGGAGCAAGAGACAGAGAGCGGAGCAGTTGCCCTGCAGGGAGGGTGAGCGGCAGAGCTCCCGGTTCAGCACGGTTGGGAAAGGGATGATCCCCAACATCCTGACAGCTGGCAGTTGCTTCCCGCCTGTCAGCTTTGCTCCCTGCTCTGGGCAAGCTCTGCACCGCAGCAAGGAGTAGCTGGAGCCGCCGCTGTGGGAGGCTGCAGGGAAGTTTTGGGGCTGGTTCCCACTCACTGCCCTGATAGTGCACACTGCCCAGGTGTCCCTGCACACACAGCCCCAGGGATGGGGGGGGGGAAAGGTGGGGCCTGGGTTCAAGGGCCAGACAGCAGAGTGGGGACCAAGCAACTGCTCTACAGGGAGGGGAAGCAGCAGAGCTCCTGGCTGAGCATGGCCGGGGAAGGGATGACCCTCTACATCCTGGCCTCTCCCCCTCCCTGCAGGGCAGCCGCTTGGTCCCTGCTCTGCTCTCTGCCCCTCCCCCCCCGCCCTCCCTAGGGCAGTGTGTGCTGGGGCGCCTGGGTGGCATGTGCTGTCAGGGCCGCAAGTGGGAGCCAGCCATAAAACTTCCCTGCAACAAGGAGGAGCCAGAGCCGCTGCCACAGGAGGCTGTGGGAAAGTTTTGGGGCTGGCTCCCACTTGCTGCCCTGACGGTGCAGGCAGCCTGGGTGCCCCTGCACACGCAGCCCCAAGGAGGGCACGGGCAGCACAGGAGCAAGGGCAAGAGAGCGGCGTGTGACCAAGTGGCTGCCTTGCAGGAAGCAGGAGCAGCAGGGCTCCCGGCTCAGCACGGCCGGGGAGGGATGACCCCCAACATCTCAGTGGCCGGAAGCTGCCTCCTGCTTGTCAGCTTTGTTCCCTGCTCCGGGCAAGCTCCATGCAGCAGTGAGGAGGAGCTGGATCTGCTGCTACGGCGAGCGGAGCAGGAACAGGAAGCGTGCTCGGCCAGGCAGTAATGGTGTTTCCGGCCTCGGCACTGGCTGACTGCAACACTGCTCCTCTGTAGCCAGGAACTCTGGGGTACATCTGGAGGATGGCTGGGACCCAAGTCAAGCTGGGGATGCGTGCACACAGGAAAACAATAGGGCTTGGACCCTAGGTCTCAGCTTAAGATGGGCTTGGACCTTCCAGCCCTGCAGGGTCTTGGGACCCTAGGTCCAAGCCCTAGTTAGCACAATTGGTGTGTGGACAGAAGTGTGGGGGGGTTACGCCTAGGGTTATATTGCTGAGTAGACATACCCTGAGAGGCTGGCTTTGACTGTTTGCTCATTCCCAGCCATCCCACTAACCAGGGCTCTAGGAGCAGGGCCTGCTTTCACAGCACTGCTGCTGATCTGTGGAGTGGTGGCTCCATGTGAGCTTTATAATGTGGGCCCTTCCCTTTCAGTTCTTCTCAACAGGTGAGGAACGATTAGATCTGTGCAGAACTTTCATGAAGAGTCTTAAAATAAAACTCAACTGGTTTTGTTTCTCATCACAGACTCAAAACTCCTCCCAGCTTTTCTGGAAAGTTTGAGATACGGCTCCTCCTCAGTGATTTATGGATTTACACAAAAAAACCATGGGTTCAAGTTTTCACATGAAAACCTAGAAAATAGCCCACCTTAACTGATTACTCTCTTTACAGTTAGTATGGCAACACCCAATTTTTCATGTCTTCTATGTACATATATCTTCCTACTGTATTTTCCACCGCATGCATCCGATGAAGTGGGTTTTAGCCCAAGAAAGCTTATGCTCAAATAAATTTGTTAGTCTCTAAGGAGCCGCAAGGACTCCTCGTTCTTTTTAGAGGAACTTGGTGATTTTGACTGAGCTTGCTGGCCAAGAGCCTGATTCTGCAATATGCCGAACATCCTCAGCATCCACTTAAAGGCATCGAGGTCCTCAAAGAGCTGTTCAGGTTTAGGGGATTTCAAAAACTGTTCAGTGGTTATTTTAGGTGGGCAATGAGTGCAAGATCAGTCCTCATCTGAGTAAATCAAGCCACCCAACTCATTGGGGCCACATGTAAGTTGCACATAGATACTTAGAACCAGATCCAAAACCCATTGTGCTCTTAATTCAGCCATTAAATACTACATGAAATGGATAGTTAACAGTCCTGGTCCATTCCTTAGGCTGATTTTAACTCTGAGCTAAAAACTTGAAATTGCAGGGTTCTAGATTCCTGCAGACTGCAGGAAACCCTTTTTCTTGCATGAGAATGTTGACATTATAGACTTAGGACCAAACTCTGCATCGACTGACACCCTCTGCAATCCCATTAGCCCTGACTATGCCCTCGCTCACACCAGCGTAAACCATGAGTAGCTCCAATATACTCCTTGAAGATCTGCTGGTGTAAGAGCGATCAGAATCAGTGCTATTGCCTTCAATGTGGTAGCAAAGGCTGGAAATCAGCAGAGAGTACAGCCATAGCATTCTGTGGAAAGATGAAATCTTACAAAAGGCATTAAGATGTTTAAGTGCACCAGCTGTGTTTGATCAAAACTAAAACACTGAAAAAGAAACAAAAAATTATATCAATCCTGGGATGAGAGCTTGCATCTCCCGGCACATCAAAAGGCATATTATTATTCAGTTTATAAATGCCCGGGAGGGAAAGACTTAGGATGCAAACTTTGATACACCTTTATCTCAAAAAGTGCTATATAATTCATCTAAAACAAATTCCAAGACGACAGTAATGTGCAATTTTATGTGTAATTTTCCAAAATATGTTTTCAGTTAGATTAGCTATTTACATAATTACATAAGGCTGGAAATCACTCAGCAATTCATCACTCATTCGTGACATCGGGATGACACTTTGTCAGTGAGGCATTTGGCTGCAATTACTTAATTAAATGGTCATTTTGTAACAGCTTAATAACGGTGATGTCTGGTGACCAAATCCTGCTCACTTTACTCACATGAGCAGTCCCACAGAAATCAATGTGTGCTCCCCCTCTGTGGCCTGCTAGGTCTCATAGTTCCCCGACCAACCTGTATGTCAGGGTCCTATAGAATTTAACAGGGTTCTATAGAAATCAATATGATTCTATAATAACTGCTCTCAAGCCATATCAGATACAACAGAGAACTTTCTACAGGTTTTTTGAACTATTCTATAGAACTATCATTGTCTAATTCAATAGGATGGTTTAAAAAAGAAACCTATAGCAAGGTTAATTACTCTTATTACATTCTATAGGACTTCTTAGAATTCTGTAGGACTTCTTCCTTTAGGGGTGGCTGCACTTATAAGAGTGCAAGGACTGCAATTGTGAGTGGTCGTTGCATGTGGGGTGGTATATAGGGAACGCTACTTCTCTTGCACAGACTGCAGTGCGACCTGGGATCCCTCCATTTCAACAGCCTCAATGTTCCACTGTGCTTAAATTTGTGTGCTTATATATAACTATGGGAGGGATTTGCTACAGCGCAGAACAGTGTCCTGGCTCTAGAATATATCTCTTACCTCTGATGGATGTCCGACTCTGATAAAAGTGCAGAGGGGATCAAAAGCCCCCGTACCACAGGCCAGGAGGTGTGTTCTGTTGTACCGGTGAAGGACACGGATGTAATTTGCACATTCGTCCTATTTTTAAAAGAAAAGGAGAAACTTAGTATTCAGGATAATTTGAAAACAACCCCACTTCCTCTGAGCCATGGGAATCTCTCTGCTTCCCTTGTCTAAGTACTTATGTGGATGGTCTAGGTATACTTAATCCTTCCTATGCTCAGGGGGGATGGATTACAAGACCTTTTGAAGCCCTTCCAGCCCTACATTTCTATGATTCTATAGTTCTTATCACTGTAATACCGGAGCACAAATCACAACCATTAATGAATACCTGTGAGATAGGGAATCCCCTTCTTACAGACAGAGAAACAAGGAGATTAAGTGATTTGCCCAATGTTATACGATAATTCTGCAGTCTCCATGGAATAGAATCCAGCTCTGCTCATTCCCAGGGTCCTAACTACGAGCCCATCCTTCCTTCCTCTAATATATGTGGTCCAAATCTACACTTGTTTACATCTGTGTAATTTCAGTCATTTTATTGACTTTGGTGGAGTTACTCTGTATTTATATTGGTGTAGCAGAGACCAGAATCTGGTTCAGGATAAATGGTAGATGGGCCGGGGGAAATGGCAGATCCAGCAAATTAGAAAAATAAACTTTGCTATATGTACTTCTAAGTAAACCTATTAAACCACATTTGTTATGTTCTTGTGAAAGGGTGTTTAGAGAACACACACACACACACACACATATATAGTCTGTCTTCAGAGAAGGTTATCTTTAACATGTCCATTAGATCAATTATAGATCTGTAGATGTTTTACTCATTGACACTCTACTGTGTTAAGGAGCTGGAGTCACTATTACAGAATATGTTTCTTACCTCTGACTGATGTCCGACTGATAAAAATGCAGAGGGGAACTAAACGCCCTCTATCACAGGGCAGCTGAGTCCACAGTTGCCAACTTTCACACAGTAAATAAGCACCCTGACTTTCACAATACGCCAAAAATCAAGCTATTCCCTTTTCAAAACAAGGCAAAAACAAACCAATCCCTAAGAACCACAACACTCTATGTGACTACATCCCCCGGCGTACAGTCTGGGACTGTGGAGGGCCCGCTATTCCACCCTGACTCTCCCCCCCCCACCCTCTTGCCCCCCCGCTTTCTGGGAGCCGATCAAAAAAAGAAGCAACAAGCTACAACAAGCAACAAGCTACCAGCCAAAAACTAGCCAACAAGCAACTCACAAGCCAGTTAAGCCAAAACCGAGCCCCATTTCCATATTTGCATGTCTGCAGTCGACACACAGGATTTAAAGTAACAGAGTTTTATTTTGGCTTGAGCCAAATCAGTAAAGCATAGCCCAAGTTTAAGGTTGTGCACATGCTGTCAAGAACAAGGTTTCCCAATTCAATTGTCCTATTTAGTCTCTTACAAGCTTTCTGCAATGGTGTTTATGACTACAATACTTAATGTTTTACTGCTACAAGATGAACTGATAACCTCTTAAGAGCTTGTAAGAGGGTCTGTAGTGTTACAGTGTAAGAGGTGGTGAAGAAAAGTGTAGAATACCTAAATACTAAGATGGTTATTAAAACTTTTTACACATCTTATCATGTATAATATGCTTCGTTCAGAGCAAAGTGGGAAAGCTGGCAGCAAAGACAAAAAGCAGAGTCAGTAAAAGGTAAGGGGCCTAAGAATTTATTTTTAAGGACATTTTATAAAAGGGTTTATCTTGCAGAAAGTGGTATTAGAAAACAAAAAAAAGATGGCAAAGAAGGAGGACATAGGGAAGGTCTAAAATAAGCAATAGAGTAATGTGGTCACTTGAACCGGTTATGAAAACAATGAGAATAAAACGTAGAAAGTGTCTGGCATCTGTTCTGTCCCAGTTGAGGCTCTTGGACCACACCATCAGTTGATAGTAGAGCATCTTCAGCTGTTGAAGACTGAATAGACCAATATTTTAGAGTTCCCTGTAATTACTAGCATTATATATCCTCATGATCCAAGGCTCAATCTGATCTCCAGTTAGGATCAGGAATGATTTTTTGTGTTGTTAGTGTTCTATGAGACAGTATTGCTAAATCTAACATTGTGACTCTCATGGTAGTTGATGTGTTTCTTAGGTTATGTCTACACTGCTCCGGGAGTGTGCTTCCCAGTCCAGGTAGACAGATACTCAAGCTAGCATGCTAAAAATAGGAATAAGGACATTGTGGCACAGACAGAATGGCCTGGGCTAGCCACCTGAGCATGAACCCAAGAGGTCGGGTGGACTTGTACTCATGTGGCTAGCCCACGCTGCTGCCCATCCCAAAATGTATACTTAGCTCTCTTTAGCATGCTAGCTCTTGTCTGTCTATCTGGGCTGGGAGGCATGCTTCAAGCTGCAGTGTAGTCAGACCCTTAAAGTTCTAGCTCCTTGAGTCATGTGATTAGGTTAGAATCTTAAGCTTTCATTTAAAAAAATGTACATTTCTAGCCCTCATGGTTGCAGAGAAGAGCTGGAAAACAGAAACACTAAAGACTCAAACACCACAATCAAATAAAAAGACCCATAACTTACATAAAAAAAAATCTTATGGAGTTTGAAGTCAATCCCATGATTTTGGAGGGGCCTGACTCATGATTTTTGACTGTTTGGGGTTGGCAATATTGATGATAGAGCATTTCATAATCAATCATGGATTCCTGTGAGAAAAAACATTGCAGTGTTCCATGGTAATGACCTCAGGGATTGTAGTAACATTATTATAAACTTCAGGGGAGTTGAGCTATTATAGAAGAAGAACAATGTATATTTTTATAAGAGAATGAATATTTAACTTCCCTAGAAACCTGTAAGACTGCTGCTGGGGACAAAACATCATAAACTATAATCTGTAAAAGCACTGTGAGCACAGGGAAATGGGGCTTTGATTGTGATACCGACCTCTCCTGAGAGGGAGTAACAGATAAACCTCAAGTGCTTCAAGAATCATACTAAGTTAGATAAATTCCAAAAGTTTGGGTAATATTGAGAACATATGGATTCTGTCCAGTCAGGTTGGAAATCTGAAGACAGTGGGCCTTATCCTATGATTTCATGGTACTTCCTGCTTCTTATTGGGACGAAATCACCACAAGGAAGGTTCTTCTCATGTTTTTCCCCTTCCCCTTCTGCTTCCAGACTGATTTTAAAAGCACAAAAACATGAAAATGAGAACATCCACACTGGGTCATAGCAAAGGTCCATCCAGACCAATATCCCATCCTCTGACAGTGGCCAATGCCAAGTGCCCCAGAGGGAATGAACAGAACAGGTAATCATCAAGTGATCCATCCCCTGTCGCCCATTCCCAGCTTCTGGCAAACAGAAGCTAGGAACACCGTCCCTGCCCATCCTGGCTAATAGCCTTTGATGGACCTAACCTCCATGAACTTATCTAGTTCTTTTTTTAACCATGTTATAGTCTTGGCCTTCACAACATCCTCTGGCAAGGAGTTCCACAGGTTGACTGTGTGTTATGTGAAAAAATACTTCCTTTTGTTTGTTTTAAACCTGCTGCCTATTAATTTCATTTGGTGACCCCTAGTTCTTGTGTTATGAGAAGGAGTAAATAACACCTCCTTATTTACTTTCTCCACACCAGTCATGATTTTATACACCTCTATCATATCCTCCCTTAGTTGTCTTTTTTCCAAGCTGAAAAGTCCCAGTCTTATTAATCTCTCCTGATATCTATCTATCTATCTATCTAACTATCTATACACACATAGGACTGGAGGAGGTATCCTGGGTCATCGAGTCTAGTCTCCTGCTATTGCAGGTAACTCAGTGAAATGAGGGCTGAAAAAAGTCTATTGAACATTTAAACTTCAGAAAGGTTCACTTCAGCTTCAGGTGTGTAAGGAGTGAGATAGCTTGGTTGTTCATTTCTCAAAACTGGTGCTTCCATGCCCTCAAGGCAGATGAGAAGTATGTTTTTCATGCTAGTGTTGACCATTGATGTTTACAGCTTCCTAGGCGTCACTGACAATATTTGTTGTGGCTGTGTTTGCGCTTGATTGTTTGCTGTATTTTCACACATTTTCACTCTGGCCTTTTGAAATCCTCTCATCCAGTGTTAGCTAGCTCAGTGGCAAGTGCATTCATTAGGTGCTGATAATGAACTTGATGCTGTACACAATAAATATCATTTGTGCCCCAAAGAATTTTCAGTCTATGGTGCCAAATGGAAACTCTGTACGGGTGTGAGTCCCGGCATCCTTGCACTGATACCTATTAAAGGCCCATAGGCCTGTGTGTGGGGATAGCAGACCACAGGGGTGGATGTAACTTACAGTGCATTTTATATATTACTATTAATTTAACTTGCTTCTTGTGGGTATGCTGTAAGAAGTAGTCTAGTCTTTCGGAGAGATTAGAATCAAGAGAGGCTGCAGCTTGGTGAACCAGGGTAGGATGATATTCTATGCACATGGCAATATGGACAAAGGCAGGGAGATAGGCATGTAAGAAGAAAAATCAATAGGGTGTCTAGACTGGCATTACTGGCAAACAACAGTGGGTGAAGAGGGAAGATGTGATAGGAGACAAGGCCATTATTCAAGCCAGTGCAGAACTTGAAGGGGAGGCTAGAGATGATATGTTCAGAATGACAGATGAGATGAGGGAGATAATTTTAGCAGTCACATTGTGGAGGGGGTGGTGATGGCTAAGTTAGTATCATAGAGGCCTAAAATTAAGAGGTTGTAGTACTCAAAATAGATGTTAATATGGAACTGGATGAGAGTTTCAGCATGTGGGACAGAAAGTAAGGAATGGATTGTTGTGGTGGGAAAAATGGCAAGATTTGGTTGAAATGGATTTGTGAGGATAAGAAAGTTCTGATTTCCTCAATCTTCCTGAGTAAATGAGATCTTGCATGAGAAAAGGAAGAAACAGAACTATCAACATCCGTTAGCAAATGGCTTTCACTCTGATGCCAATCCTATCACATCTCATGAACTAAGCAGTGCCGGGCCTGGCCATTACTAGGTGTGAAACCTCCAAAGAAAACCCATGTATGGTAGTAGGAGCCAGTGTGTTCATTGCTCAGTTATTGCTTGGTCTTGAAAGCAGTTAAACCAGTGACTTAATGTGCTAACAATAGTCATGCTGTAGATCCACACTGCAACATTCAGAATTGGATCTGGATTTTGAACACTCAAAAATTAAAGGATGCTTTAATCCAAGTTTCTGGTTCAACCCCATCTCTAATGAAAAGGTAATTAATTTGCAATTAATGATACTTACAGCATCTCTTCCTTTAATTGTGCATTCTTCTGCCTGCCGGGGTGTACTGGGCCAATGTATCTGAAATAACACAAGATCATTCATGTGGGGATATAAATGGGTATAATTCACAGCCAATCCAGCTTTTCCTCTTTGGATCGGGTTAAAAGATTCACCACTTTCAATGTACAGTTTTCATTGCTACAATATATATAGTAATATTTTACAATGTTTTGTAATATTCCAGTTTTCAGAACAGTTATTAAGCTAAATATTCAAATTTTTGCCAAAAGGTTTCTGACTACACAAGTTAACTATACAAGTCTATAAGGAGGCATTTAATTTCTCCTGCATTACAGCTGGCGGTCTTCTCCATCAGACATTGGCAGGGCCAGCTCTGGCTTTTTTGCCGCCCTAGGCAAAAAGGCCTCCGGCCGCCCCCCCCCCCCCC